GCATTTGGATATCTGCCCGCYAATGGCAGGTGGAATGAGCTCCTGGTTTTGCTTTGCTTGCATCCACAACCTTGGCCTTCCCCTAATAAAGTGTCATTGTCTTGATGCCAGAGTGGTTTTTGCCTTCCTTCCTTTCCTTTATGTCTCACAGAGGGAGTGAGCAGGCATATGGGGTTTTGGTTTTTGGCCAGGGTAAAACCACTCCCACAGCCAGCTACCCAGCAAAAGGAATAACACGGACTTTTGGGGCACGTACCCCTAATACAGCTCTTCTAACATAAAAAACATAATTGAAAAAACAGAAAATAAATAGCCTTTTAATTGTCTTGTCTGAAATATTTATTACTTCTCATATGAAAAACCCCAAAGCACAAAGTGATATGGGCAAAGACTCAAACTTACCCTAGTATAACGATGTGTGCCTTATGAAGTTACATAAGGGTTTCTAGATGGTATTTTTCACTGGAAAAAATCTAAAATGGGCAAATTGTACCTTAGCTTTCCTTCAACAAAAAGATCTTTTAGACCTGTGTGGTGACAAACATAATCTGGAAAAAAAAGATAAACTGGTATTATTAAAATTTTCTCTCATTATTGCAGCATTAACCCTAAAAAAAGGGAACAATCAAAATTCCACATTTCTGCTGCCCTCAGCATATCACCAGAAAGAGTACCAGAATACGGCAGGCACACAGCGATATGCTTCAGGGATTTCTGCCGTGATTTGACCCATCCTTGGATTGGACTGTCCTTGAGACAGAGGCTCTAATCAGTACTTAATAGTGGCAGACTTTTCATTTGTGATTTTACATAATWACTTTTTAAGCTTGTCTAAGCTTTGATATTCATAATATGCTGCGCCAGTTAGTTCTCAGTTTAATGACATCTCGTGGGAAAACTACAACCTAACAMTCTGTACATAAACTAGCAATTGTTTTGCTTTTATCAGCTTCTGTTATCTCTCACATAATCTTGCTTACAATGTTTTATTTCTACAATTCTGAGAACTCATTTTCAGAATCATGGCTAGTATCAGCAGTCTACCAGCTCACTAAGCACCCTTTTTGCTTTTATTACTATGTTGAACATCACAGATCTTGGCACAGATCTCTGCAGAGTGTTCATGTTTTTCTGTTTCTTAAACCAACTGTTGTCTATAATAGGTCTGTTACTTTTCCCCCTAGTCTTYCCAGATATTGCTAGTATGGAACCTTGTAAAAAAAATTTTTGGAAGTCCAATACACCATTTCAGTTTTCATGACTTTATGGTTTCCCTCAAATAAAGCCTACACATTTGTTAGGGACACTRCTCCGGTACTGACTCTTCCTCAGTGTACCTGTATCGGTACTCATAAACCACCTATATATGTACTCGTATCTGCTGATTTTACTGATGTGTCAACTAATCTAAGTATGAAGAAACATTTCTTTCCAGAAGTTTTCCAAGCTTTAATTAGTAATGAAGAGAGCAGGGTCTGATCTGGAGGGAAGGTTTTCCCAGATGTCTTACCTGGTTTATTGGTTTGTGCGTTTCTGAGCTTCTTTGGTAACAGGAAGATGCTCTTCTGAAAGGACTTTTCTAAAGCGTGCTTGAATTCACCACCAGTGTCAGCTTTGCTATTCACGTCCCTTGAAATCTATCAAACACCTTCCACTTCTTTGGCATGTATCTTTGCCCACGACTGTTCTCACAGGCTCTCCTTTTTGAAATCCTGTCACTTCTGCCTCTCTGCTCACTTCTGATGTTCTAAGGGTGACATAAATTTTCCTTTCTTTTCCTGCAGGTTATGCTCCCTTGCTTGCCCTGCCTAGCTGGTGAAACTGGTCAGCCACAAGGCTTGTTTGTAGTGTGTTTTGTCCATGCTGTGATGGATCAGCATCAGAGAGTATTTTAACTTATTTTTTTTAGAAGTCACCAGGAGGACAAGATCAAAGGCACATCACCCAGCTTTTGTGGAGGATCTCTGTGACCTTCCAAAAGCATACATAAAAACTCTCTAGCTTCAAAGGAAAAGTCAAATGATACACAATTATTTTGTTTAGTTTTCTGTCCTAAGCATACATGACCACAATCTTAGAAAAGGTTTTTTGCCATGTTTTGCCACTACCCTGGGCAAAGATGGCTCTTCCTAGTGTATTCTTGTAATTGTCCTAACTGTAATATCTAATGTATGTTGTTACTGGATAGGTAAGATATGGCAGAAAAAAATATYTGTCCTGTTCTTAAAATTTAGTATCTACCAAGTAGTAAGCTGTCATGTCTTTTGCATTAAAATTTTAATTTAGTCACAGGGATGACTACTGCAAAGCACTTGCTTTAGAATTTGCTCTCTTTTAGAAGGGAGAGCAAATTCTCCCTTCTCCGTAACACCACAATTCCTCCCCTTTTTCCATTTACCAAGACCTTTTCCTTTGCATACAGTAAGATACAGTGCCCTAAAGTAGCCCACAGGCACCTTGACAACACCTATGCTCCTCTCGAATGAAGTGAGCATGTCATCCTTAGGATCCTAGAGCTGATGTACTCCATTATCATTACAAGCTGAAATAAGCAGCTGATTGATTCTTTCCAAAAAGTGAGTTAGKTAAAAACCCACTCTTCCCTTCTTTACACTTTATCTTATCAGCAATGTCAGAAAGCCAGAAGAAATGCAAAACTCTTCCAAAGGTAGGGAACCCCGAAAGGTTACAGGAAACTATTCAGAATATTCATTAGTTCCTATGTCTGCACTATCAGACATTGAGGCTTGGTAGAAGTGAAAATCATCTAAACTGCWTTTAAGTATTGTGTCTTATGTCCTGATGATGGCATTTCAGAGCATAGTCACGTGCAGATCCATCTGTCTAGCCTGATGTAACAAACCGACCAGGCAGCTCATTTTCCCAGGTTAACTGATTCATTTACTTCTCCAGAAGCATGCTGCATCACACTGCATTGTGTTTTCTAAGATGTATCTATACTTACAGAGACGGAAAAAGGCCAGTAAGAACTTTGACATACACTCAGTGCATGGATTAAAAGGGTGCATGGATTAAGATCAGAAGATGTGGTGAGGARAAAGGAGTAGTTTTGCTCAAAGTGATCTTTCAGTTGGGAATGCTAAAATTTCCAGTGGCAGGAAACTCCCATTTCTTATGCCTAATGCTGCTCATCCTTTGAGAAGCAGAAGTCATGTGGAGAGATAAGACAAACACAGAGGTGCAAAACCTTTTGTTATATGGGGGAAGGCAGTGAGGCTCCCATTGCTCACTAGGATGAGCTGAGCCTGAKGGAGCCTGTGCATCTCTGCCACCCAACCTTGTCAGAAAGGCAATCAAATAAATCTACTCTGCTTTTTGTCTGTGGTTTAATGGTTGCTCCCTTGTATGTGTTGATTAACACACTTAACTTTACCAAACTGGTGGGTTTATCTCCTGATATTTGGAGGTCTTTCTTGTAACTTCTATTTTGTGTAAGTCAGTGGTCACAGAGAGTTGCATGAACTCTTGATGAGCAGAACCACTGTACCTGAACCTACCAAGTCCTGATGGAACTGCTGCATGCAATGGCTGAGCTATGTGGCAAATTGAGACCAGCTCAATTCAGAATTGAGACACATCACTATGAAAAGAASGCTAATTCCCAAGTCTCCCAAAGGATAACTGCATGACCTGATTTTGTCTGACAGACTTAGAGGGAGCTGTAGGTAATGMAGAGGTTAATGCATTTTAAAATTTCAGCCATGATCACCAGCACTTTAACCACAGAAACAGAAGGTAATAAACAACAGTTGTTATGCAACATGGAAAGGCTATGGATATTTTATTTGCACTGTGATGTTTTCTTTCCAATCCATGGTATGTGTTTGAGCTGTGAAGTTGTTTGGGGTTTCTGAACAATACTGTTCTACATGTTTTCATTTATAGTTTTTGGAAGTGTTCATGCTTTTAGAAGACTTGTGACCCTTAACAGCAAAGGACATAAATTCTTATACCTCTCTTYTGGAAGAACTCCAAACTTCTTCTGCCTCTGCTGTTTTCCTCTGTTTTCTACATATCGCCTTTTAAATGGCAGATTTTTTTAAAGGACAATAGAGAAGTATTTGGTATTTAAAGCACCTGGATTCCCACTTGTCCACCAGCTGGTCTTGACTGTATATCCTATATCRACTTAGGATGGAACCACTTATTGGTAGTTGTTAGCTTTAGTCTTTCTGTACAACTCCAAGTGGCAGAAATACAGGAAATTGTACTCTACTCCCTTGCAAAGGTCTGCCTGCCTGGTAACTGTCCTGTGCTAGGAAAAACTACTCCCTATTGAAACAAGCTCACAATCAAAGTAACTGTGAAAAGGGGACCAAATAYACATTTGCCACTGTATGATTTACTTAATTTATCTCACTTGAATGCTTCTGGCAAAGAGAGCAATCAGCAAGGATGCTTAACACTGCTGAAACAGCATAGGCACTAACAAAAACTCCTATTATGCCTTTATGATCATAAAAGGTGGCAACCCAATGTAATGCCCTTAGGTCTTTGTTCAAATTACAATTGCAAGGAAAAAGAGTGTATATTTCAATTTCCAAGTCAAGTGCAGAGATGTCTTCATGGGAATACAAACACCATGGAAATACATTTTGATATCTTGTGCTTTATAAAAAAAATTAAGACTGATACACGCTGATATCTATCCTGCTTAATCCAGATCTGATTAGGCTACTATTTATTTTATACTGGAAGATAATCGTTAGCACCATGTCCCATCAACAAGGAAACAATGGATGCAAGTTTGTAACTTGTATGTCCAAATTAGTAAGGATTAATCTAGGCCAGATGGATTATGTGCATTTAAAAAGAAATTACCTTCGGGAATTTCCATGTAGAAGGTTACAGATCTAAATGAGCAGTTTGGGTCTAGGGATGTGAGMRTTTAAAAAAATAAAAAAAAAATAATTAAAAAAAAAAAAAAAGAAGAGGGTGTCTAATTTTGTTTCTCTAAGATACCAGACACTAAATTACAATCACTTTATGGTTAAATTTATTGGAATTATTTCAAAGTACACAAATCAATTCACACTACTCATAACTACTATCCTCATTATCTGATACACATCAAACAAACAGAGGTTATTTCCATTTGCTTAAGCAATACAATGAGACTCATGAGTGAGCACAGAATATAAAATCAGAATGTAAAATAAGGCAAACATGAAAAAAGCATTAGGCTTAAGTTTTCCACCAGTAAAACAGATTTTGCTGTCAAGTTTCAGAGGAAAACTTTTAACAAGCATATTGCAAAAGAGAAAAGCAAAATTAACTATGATAAATKTCTTCCTTCAAGGCACTGTTAACTTTTAATGTCAATCTGAAAATAATTCAGCAAGTCAGTTGATAGAAATATTACCATAAGTAACAAACCAAAAATCTTTCTTTGGCTAAATATAAAGCTGARTGCAAAAAYAAAGCAGATTAAGTTTCTGTAGGGRAGTAATTTTGGATATGATAGAACAAGCATCATGCAAGTACAACAATGAACTCAACTGCCAACAGTAAAGTTTTGCCAATCAAGACTTTCAGCGGAAGTTGTAAAGTTTGGAACTTGGTTTATTTTTTCACAAAGAATTATGTATGYACATTCTAGCATAATGAAGTAACAAGACTACAAAACTGTTAAACTAGCAGAGAAGTATCTTCTAAGCATATAACCTCTAGTTCTCKTACCAGACATCTCATTTGGCTTTGTGCTTTCGTCTGTCCAAGTGTCAGCAACGGCAGATTGTTTTCAACTGCTGCACAGTACTTCCTACACACTCTGAGTGGTACAAATGAAAACRTATTTTCTCCTACAGATTTACATTCAGTCTTCCCTGTACATACCTAATTGCAAGTCATGTCAGTTTCTGCTGTCTGTACCTCAGGACCCCTACATAATAACAAAATGTACCTCCTTCCCACGTCCCTACACTGTTCTTAAGTGGCTGCTTCCTTACCATCTGCACCTTGGTATTTTGGGGGAGTTTCATTGAATCATGGTGTGGCTAATTGCGGTCAGACTACTGAGGGGATCATTCATCTCAAAAACCTCCCCTACCAATCAGTTTCTTTTCATTGCTCAGCAGTCACCATTCAAAAGTTCTGAGGCACAATTTAAAGGCAGAATATAAACCTCACTTTCTTTGCCTGAAAAGAGTTAGAGGCACATGGATGCTGATTTTAGAAGCAACTAATGAATCTTCCCCCTCTCTTCTCCACATTAAGTGTGTCAAAGGACCTACAGCCTATCACCTGTATTGATCCACTGGAGGGTAACTAGTAGATCTCTATCCTAAAGAAATATTAATACAGYTCTGAATCCCCAATTTGGCAGCTCTGCTAGTATCTATCCATCTTCACTAGGAATTTGGTCTTGCAGCTGCTTGTGTCTACTTTGGATCTAAGAGCAGGAACAATTTGCAGTGAAGCAGCTTGAAGTATAAGAAAATAGCCCTCCAGGATTCTTTTAGAGATTTCAACCCTTTCCTCTAAGAAATGGATAAGGCTTTTGCTGGTTAGAACCCAAGAAAATATCCCCCTTGCAAGAAAAGGTTTTGATCTTGGAAGACAAGATTTGCCAAACAGCAGWAGTGGTTGCACTCAGTCTACCCATGTAAGTAAATTATTTAAGGTTTTGTGGATATACTTAAGATCCAATTGCTATTTGAAGGAAATAGCTTCAGAATTGTTTTGGATATTATTTGTTATCCCCTAGCTTGAATTAAATAAAAAAATCCCACCACTGCCTGGAGCTACAGGGTTTTTTGAAGTTGAAATTTTTGTTCCATTCAAAGCTAAGATCACAAATGAACTGCAATAGGAATGTTTTGAATATACACAACATATACTTCTCAAAAGATAAATTTCAGGAGTTCCAGAGCCCCTTGTGGTACCTGGACAAACAAAAGTAGGGTTTACCCCTTTGAAGCTGACCATCAATTATGCCAATTATTTAATAATTACCATTTAATATTATTTGTTATTCCCCTCTGCAGGGCAGCCCAAAAAGATTTTAAACCTAGGAGAACATGCACAAAGTAAGACTACTTACAATGATGAATATCAACTCACTAATAATAAACACCAAATAATAAAATAAAATAAACACCAAACCCCTTRCAGACAAAGCAAGCAGAACCTGCTAGAGAGGTAGGTCAGGGAAAAATTACAGTCTCAGCAGCCAATCTGATCTATGATGGCAGCTTCTAAAAGCCACGCTTAACCAAGGYTCTCTCTGCTAATGCCTGCTATTTGTATGACTTGCCTATGTTGACCAAGACTTCATACCCGAACAGCAAGATTAGGTAGGAATGCTAAGTGAAGGCAAAAAGATGTTATTACCATTTCTGAGTAAGTGGTGGGCTTTTTTTCCAGACAGCAGCTAACCTCATTTTCACTGCAAAATATATGAAATGCTGCTTTATTCAGAATATAATTCTTAGATCTTTAAGAAATATTATCTTTTTTACTACTCAACTACCAACAAGAAACAAATTACTACAAATTCTAAAATGTGCCAAACAATATAAGAAGTAAACCTTTTAAAACTGCCAAGATTTACTTGCTACAATAAAAACACCATTATAACAATGAGAAATTCATATAAAAAACTCTGCTTTTTATAGTGCATAGAAACTCCAAGGCAAAATACAGTAAGCACAGTGTCTGAGCAAGGGGAATCTTTATCAGTGTTCACTCCTCACAGTCAATCACATAACACTCATATACTTCTAATGTTGTCTTATTTGGACCTTATCTTCTAGTTCTTAATACTAGAAATTTAATTATGAAAAACAAAAGAATACATCAGACTGGATTTTGTCACCCATCTCTAACAAAACAACCAATGCTAGGATTTCTGGTATTTTTCAAACCCATAAGAGAAGAAATAAAGAAAAGTAATTAAATCTGTTTTATCTGTTTCGTTTTTTCTGCATTCCTTTATGTTCAAAGAAAAACGGTACAAAATATTGTTTAGATATTTTTTCATTTTCTTAGGGAGTCTACAAATGTTGCCTTTTTCCTYACATTTTCATTGAAAAAAGACATTTTTCTGAAGACTACTTCTTCCCCTCAAAATAGAAGTTTTAATTATTTCAAACAAAGGCAACTAACACAACCAGCTGTTTTCTAAGTAGCTGAACATTCTTCAGTTGCTGAACAGATAATGTAAATAAATGTTATTACGGCAACTCACTCTTCTAAAGCAGTACCTTAAGTCATTAACGGAAGTTACAATTTTTGTGTAAGAGAAATAGTAGCATTCATGTTGCTTTACCCTATTACCCTGAAAATTTTAGCTGCTCTAGACCCACTCTGTACTTTGCAAGGAGTTTAAGAAACAGTAGTCTGCTGAAAGAAGTAGAAGTACCAAGTAGACAGTATGTATGAACAGAAGCATACACAGGCATACTCCTGAAAATTCAGCATTCTGTATAAATGAAAATAACCAAACTGGTATTGCAGCCCCAGGGAGTGCAGTAATTTGTTCAAGCAAAAGGAATTATTGCAGTTACAGTCAGAGAAGGTACTGAAATCCCCATTACTTCTTTCATCTACTCTGAAATATCTGAGCTGTAGAGTGTCTAAGTGTTTAGCTTACTAAGGACTGCAATACAGTAGAACTCCCAACGAAGATAAGAACAAATAGAATTAAGGTATTTTTCTATTCAGAGTAAATTGCAACTGTCTTAATGTTTTATTTGAGTCCTGATAAAGATTCCCCTTTCACCACTTCTTTGGTAAAAACGGCTGCATCACATTTGCTTCATCAGCTAGTAAAATGCATTTTCTTTGGTGGAAATACTTTTCTGATCTTATGTGTCCAGTTTGATAACACTCAGATAATATGCCCACTCATATACCACTTATTCAGTGAACAAAATGCTAGCTCCAATTTAGGAGATAAAAATCAAAGAGACCAATCATAAACCAACAGTAAAACTAATCATGTAAAAAACAACCTACTAGCAGTAAAATGACAAACAGTGTTACAGATAAAGGTCTAAATGTAGAATATTGTGTCACCATTTGTATAAAATGAGTGATTTCAGAGCTATTAAAAAGCATCTTATTTCTCAAATGGAAAGGACTTCACTTCAAAACATAGCAAATGTTTGAAATGCATAGCTGCATACGTCTTCTGTAGTTTGTGATGATTTCACTTCTGTTGGCTTAAATCTCCTGCAATAAAATAAACACATTTCATTATAATATGAATTCTATTACTTTGTTGCTTAGTATTTTTCCGCGTTTCTGTTTGAAAATAAACATTCTGATTAATACATCCTTTTTTTTTAATGGTCCAATCTGTAAATCAAATAATAGAATCGTTTAGGTTAGAAATGACCTCTAAGACCATCAAGTCTGACTGTTAACTCAGCACACCGCATTTTTAACACAGTAGACCATACCCCTAAGCACCACATCTACACACCTGCTGAGCATGCCCGGGAATCGACAATACCATAATTTCCCTGGCATCCTGTTCCAATGCTTGGACACTGTCAGTGAAGAAGTTTTCCCAACATACAGTCTAAACCTCCTCTGGTGCAACTTGAGGCTGCTTCCTCCTGTTCCATCACTCAGACTTGGAAGATACCTAACCCCACCTTAATACAACCTCCTTTCAGGGAGTTATATTGAGCAACTGGCATTTATCACGCTAAGACATTAAAACTTTTGATGCTGTATATGAAGACAAAGCACGTGATTCTCAGAGAAGAATCCTAATTTACTGAGTGCTATGTGTCAAAAAAACTTTGCAAGAATGGAACCTCAAATGAAACATGAAATAAATTCTTGTACGCTCATCTGCAGGTTTTGATAGGGACAAATTTTTTTTCACAGCAGCTGGTACAGTTGTTGCACTGGAAATGGTGTTGATAGCATAAAAATGTTTTAGGTATTGCTGGTAGTGTTTACACAGTCACAAGGCATTTTCCTCTCCTCACCAGCAAGGAGGCGACACAGCCAGAGCACCTGCCCCCTACTGATCACAGGGATATTCCATCCCATACGTTATGTGGCTCAATATGTAAAGCTCAGGGAAGAAGGAAAATTGGGGAGGGGACCTGCATTCACAGTCATAGCATTGGTTTTCCTAATTAACCCAAGCAGTTATTACACATGTTGGAGCATGATGAAGCCCTTCTTTCCTGGAGATGGCTGAACACCTGCCTGCCCGTAAGAAACAGAAACTTATTTCAGGAAAGAAAGCATTTCCTCTACTTACATTTTCAGCTTTTGCTTTCTTTTCTTAAGCTGTCTGTGTCTCAGCCCTGGAGCTCATCTGATTCTCTCCCTCCAACCCACCAGAGAGAGCAAGCAACTGGCTGCATAGGGCTGAGTCATCAGCTGGGGTTAAATCCCAAGAGAAAAAAAGACAATACAACCTTGGAAAGTGTTTGTCCTGGATCATTTCCTGAGTTGTTACTCTCTTTATGTGAACTCTGGTATGTCCCCTTCTGTTCTTTAAAACAATGGATATGGTTAACAAGTTTTACTTGGATTGATGGCTTGTGGTGAGGATAAATCAGCAGTGACATGAATGCAAAGTCATCCACATCTCTCATCTACAGATCAGAGGTTGAGGTGCCAGATGCACAAAGGAAACAAGAGTGTCTAGCATGGGTCCTCAACTGACAGACCATCATCTGATAAGCATTTCCAGATGGCATTAAGTAGAAACAGCCTATAATCAGACTGTGAACAGGGTAGAGAATCGGGAAGTTCGTTATATAGCTTCCATGGGGGTACACACCCTCTGCTTCCTTATTTTACAACTAATCCCTTCAAGCACCATCCATTAAGCTCAGCTTCTTTCCCAGACTCTAATCCCTTGCTTCATCTCTCCAGTACTGTCTCATTCCCCTCTTGCTATTACATGAGAATCCTCCCTCTGTAAACTCAACTGACACCCAAAATATAGCCAGAAAGAGCTCTATTTTGAACACAGAGGCACTTCTTGTTCATCTCAACACCTACCCTGGCATTCATTGGACTCTTTCATGATCAGGAGATAAGCAGGTTAAACTGGGTTACATTTTAAAGATTGCATAGGTTAGAACAACTAGTAAATCATAACGATAATGGCAATAGAATTGAGTTAAAATAATATGCACTTGCTTTCTTGTTTGACTTTACCTAAACAATGGTTTAATTTAATTACTATGTTGCTTCCACATAAAAAAAAAAAAGATTGGGATAGCACAGTGGATTTCTTYGTCGCAGTATTAGGCCGTTCAAGAAGAAAGTAAACTCTGGTTTCTGTTTCACCTCTTTATTTACCTTTCATRGAACCAGATTAAAGCCTTCTTTGCCTCCAATTACCGAGTTATGCAGCAACGTCTTCTTCTGATTTACTGTAAGAAAGATGTTAAATTCCAAGACTCAGTAAGAGTTCTAAGTGATAGATAGCACAATCACTCCAGTTCCACAAACTACATCTCAAATGCATTTGTTATTGTTCTTTTGGCATGTGAAGAAAAGAGATTAGGAGAAATTTAAAAAAACCAAAATATTAAGTCATGAAGCCCTCCAACTCAGTAGTGAAGGCTCAACTAAATCTCACCCAAACATCCCACAAAATTCTGGGCAGAAGTTAGGCCATTAACAGCACTCTTGAATGACTGCTGTGACATTATTTCATTCAATACATAAAATTTGCATATAAAATGGATACTCAAGTAATATATAAGCAATAAACACATAGCTCAACATCATCAGAACGTGGGATGAAACACTCCTATGACTGGTCCTTCTGGAATTATTGCAATTAGCTATCATGCTGTGGGTCATGAACACTTTGAATAAAAGTTCTCTTGCTAAAAAAAAAAGTTTCTAGTGATTCACTAGGCTCCCACCTAAATTCACTGTTTTATGTGACATTTAATTATAGCCTCATCAACCAAGTACAGCTGCATTAGTCATCCTTTGACAYAACAGACCAGACGTGTTCCCTTGGAGGCACTCTCTGGTACACAAATCCATCTTCTAAACAGCCAATAGTTGAAGTAACTTTCAGATCTTGAAATCGGGGAGGTACACGGTTAAATAAATTTTCCTCAAATGTGTTTATCTAAGAAYTCCACAATAAAAATGCAGCAGCTGAACAGAACCACATCCCACAAGCACAAAACCCATTATTTTTGTGCACTATTCTGTATTACCATCCTCGTATTTTCAGCATGTTTATGAGAAGCATGGCTGTTCAATAAAGACAATTATTTAATTTGCAACCCAAGACATATCCCCAGTCAGCAGTGTAACATAATACCACATTCCCAAGACATACTCCCACTTTATACTGTAATTGAATTAGAGCTTGAAGTCTATTCAGGTAAGTGGAAAAGCACCAAAATATATTTTCATCTAGCACTGAAAAAAGGAATGAGAAAGTGAATACAAAACAACGAAACACAGAAGGTCACTGTAGCAAAAAAAAAAAAAAAAAAAAAAAAAAAAAAAAANNNTTTCAATTTTCTGTTAAAATTACAGCCAAAGGAGGAACGGTATGACCTACAGCACTTCATATATGAATTTCAGTGTCATTTTCCCTAGTTTCAATGTTACTTTCAGTAGCTTTTTTTATGTTATTCAGAAAAAAAAAGGGAGGCAAACACAGGAGCAGAGAACAAACCACAGGACAAAACCTAGAATAGACCAGACACATCCAAAAATGAGGACCTGCTAGGCGACTTTCCTCTTGACAAGCTGAACAGGTGAACCAGGAGGAGAGATAGAGACATAAGTATAGCATATTTTAGCAAGCAAGCCTATGGAATAGAAATACATCATCCTAAACAGCCAGTAATRCCAGCTCTCAACACTCCAGCCACTACAGGCTTACCAACAAGAGTCAGGGCTTGAACCACATGCAAGGGAGACAAATGTATGTTAATATGAACAATTATACTTTGAAAAGAACTCAAAGCCTCTTACATTTCACTTTGAAGTTATTTCCACAGTTATACTCTTCTAGAATGAGCTTATATTGAGGACACACGGTGCTCTCACAAAAAAAAAAGTAATTTAAAATTTTTTTTAAAATCTTAATCTCAAAATCAATACCAAGTGGAAAACAGTGTTCTGCTCACTCTGGAATTAGCAAGTCCTAAAGAAAAGGATAAATTGTAGTTTCACATTCACAATCATCCCCCTTACCAATGGGATCAACAAGTACAATTTTATACAACACCAATACATGTAAGAACAAATATTGAACCACAGTAATTTTTTACTTACAGTTGCTCGATTTGGTCAAACTCTCTTTCACCTTCTGCAGAACAGAAAAAAGTATAGACTCAATGTAACAAACAATACAAAATTTGTTTAGTACCTTTATCCATTGTTTAATTGGAACAAAATCTTACATTTGCATTTGTTTTCTTAAATTTGTACTTGCTAATCTATTCAAGGGAATTACCTCCAAGCTTGTGAAAAAGCTTATTTTGATAAATTTTTATTAATATGATTTTAATACAAATCACATTATATCAATAGTTTATGTATGTCTGCATTTTAAAATATAGATAACATGCATTAGATGCATTTTTCCTTCTTACTAAATTTATTTAAAGAAATTTCTCCCATCAAAACTACTAAGAACTGCTCCCATTCCTAAGCATTCCCCCAAAAATTATAGCCTCCAAATTCCCTAATACATTAAGGAAAAAAAAACAAGTATTATATCAAACCCTCTACAGACGAGTATTGCTTATTGAAAGCTCTTCGCATTTGATCCACCAAGATTCATGGAAAAGACTTAAAGATCTAAAATACTGCATTTTTTCAGAAGGAAGAATGTTATCAGAAATAGATGTGAAAATGACATTGAACTTCATACATKAAGTGCTATGGGTCATACCTTTCTACCTTTGACTGTAATTTCAACAGAAAGCTGGAAATTGATCAAAAAACTCCAAACCAACCAACCAGAAAAAAAACCCCACCAAAACTTGCCTGCACTTTTTTCTTTCCTTTTCGAATACACCTCATAAAGGAAAATAGTAATTACAAGAATAGAAACTTCAGCCACAATTGCTAGAAAGGGTTTGAGAGGTGCCATGATGGACAGAACTTTCAGTTCAAACCTCCCTTTACTGTTCCCTAATTCAAAAGCAGCTTCACACCAATATACACCAGCATCTTTCTTGGTGAGCTTATATATCTTCAGACGGTTTGTAGTGGCAGATTGTTTCTTAATTCGAAACTTGTCTCTGTGTGAAGAGGGATCAATGGGAATCTGAAAAAAATATATTGCAAGTCTTATTAATGTAATGATAAGGTGTTTAATCAAAAGGATCATCAACATACAGCTCTTATAGATATGCACAATCAGTCAGGAACAAAAGTTGGGAAGCACAATTAGCCCTTCTTAAAGGAAAGGGTTTATTTTAGCTAGACACCCCAGCTTCCTCTAGACTCACCTGAGAAAAATACAGACTTTCAGAAGGCACATTGTCTGACCTGTTTTAGTTTATTTAACAGCAGGTAAAATGTATCTGTGTCTCTGTTAACTCTCCAATGACAAATCTTACGCACAGATTTCACCACAACCCAAAATACCCACTTTCAAGGAAGGTGAACAAGCAACTCTGCTTCACTGGGAAATATGCTGATCATCTTACAAGTCGGTGCTAAACTCCAGCAGTGTAAAGCAGACAGAATTACCTCATCTCAGTTGACAGCTACCCTCAGAAGAGGGCTAAAACGAAGTGTTTTCATAGATAGGTCACAAGGCTAGGAAATAGAATTACTTRTACCTGGAAGAAGTAAAGGGTCAAACCACATCTTACAGATCAAAGTATGTCCCCCTGTAAAACTATTTTTGTACCCAGTGGCAAGATTTAAGCAGTATTTATTTAAGCATAAATTTACCAGTAAAAAAAAAAGTCTCTCAAGACTCACCTCATTTGTTTTTGTTGGAGTATGGCAGGGCCTTTTTGAAAAAGAAACATCATACAAACCAGAACAAAAAACTACATCCCTGTCACAATGAATACTTGTAAATATCAGATTTTTTTTATCCATTTCCATGCACAGATTTACATTAAAATTAAGGTAATGCAATTTGTAGAGCTTGCAGTAAAGACTCATTATACTTTACAAAGGATCTGTACTTGTTTTTGTCACACTGTTTTGCCTGGCCAACAGATGGAGACCTTACCAGCTCAGTTCCATTGGTCATATACCAGGTCCAAGACTTGGGAGGAAGCTCAGTTTTACAAAGCAATACAGCTATATCTCCTTCATAAGCGATCATGGGTTTTTCTTTTCCTTCAATATGTGGTACTAAGAACAAGGAGAACAAAACTTGTGTTTATCACTTGAAGAATTTTTATTTCTGTTACAAAATAGTACATTTAGGTATTCATTTATAGTAACCCATTCCCTTTCTCCACTTACAACCCTCATGATTCTATAATTCATGACATGATACAAAATGAGGAGTCATTTCAGGCTGATATTTCAGATATATAAGCTGTGAAGAAGCCTAGAGAAATCCTGTTCCTAGTTGCTGTGTGATCTTGAAAGTTGCCCATTAATACCAGATATAATGTGAAAAAAGCAGACTTATTTCTACCCTTGCCCATTTCCTCTTTCCCTTCTTTGACAGCTGCAAGCTACATGCTTCAGTTCTAGTACACTAGAAACAAACATAATTTCCCTGCAATTTCACTCAGCCTCAGAAACTGTTAGAAGTCTATTCTAGCCACAATGTGACTAGAAAGTTGCAAATACAGAGAACTTTCCTGCAATTAAGAAAAAAACTGCAGATTGATAGAGATTTGTAGTTACAAACATTTTCTGAGCTGATGCAATGACTTTTGGGTACACRCAATTAAAATGGACTTTTAGTCCTACCTAGCTGAGGAGAGAGCATAGCCAACAAGAAACAAGACATCAGTTTAACTTTTGAGCTACTTTTCCTAGCCATTGTAACTGTAGGTGCCCCACAGGCTTCCGAAAGCATGAAGAAAAGCTGTTAAATGTATTGAGACTATCCCACAGATAGTCTTAGAACTTAGCAAATACATTATGCTGAAGTATGTATTGCCCCTTCCCCCTCCCTTCCCTCTTTATTACGATGTTTACCAATGCTTTCCTCAGATCCACTTGTTTTTAAATTTTATTTCAAGTTTCATTGCTCTACTTYGTAAGTACAGATCCAGTACATAATCCAGATTTTATTAATCAAACAAGACTAAACAGGCCAAGTATTTGCTTTCATCAGTTATAATGAACAATTTGACACAAGCTAAGATTATTGTTGTCCTCTCCCCTTCTTGTCTTGCTGAGCATGAACTAATTTTTCCCAAAAAAAGACTGCTTCTCAAGCCCATTGAAACTTTCCTGTCCAGAAATACATACAAAACCATTTTTTTTATAGGAATACTGTTTTCAGTCTTAGAATTTGCTGCACCATCTATCAAGACTCTACTACAGAAGTTCTYTTACTCCATGCGTATGTTTTAAACACTATTGTTTAAATTGAGCACTGGCACAATATCTTCTCACTGTCTTCAAAGGGGATGACCTCTCTAACTACTGCTGCAATCTCCCTTGCGATTTAGAGAAGAGGAAACACAAGCAGGTTGGGATAAAAAAAAAATATACCCAACACAACAAGCTTATGTAGCAGTCAGAGATTTAACCTTGCTGATCAGTGGCAAAGCTCAGCTGTAGGCAAGCCAGCAATACATATGACCRTATTAACCATGGTTAAGGATATGAATATCCATTAAGAATACGAATATCCATTGCAGGTTCTGGGATCTGGCACTGTAACAGCTGTTAATCCTTGAATGCATGAAAGGATTGCCACAGGTATTTCTGTAAGTAGATGACACCAARTTTAGTGACAAAATACTTCTGCTGCACAAAGCCAACTTTTGAAGAGACAGACAGGTGTCAGCAGAGCATGTASACCAGTCAGATTGCCACTGCTTTAAAAACCACAGCTCTTTCATTGTACCTCAACAGCTGCCTAAGGATCCCTGAACACAGGGGAAAGAAATTAATCTGYTCTACTCTTTTAGCAGCATTTTACAACACTTTATGATAACCATGAACATCCTCTATGTTTATCAGCTTGAGCTTCCTGTAAGGATCTCACTGTTATCTGCAAACCTGAATAAAAACAAAACTCCTGAAAATCTGAGGGGTTATGCCAGGCCAGGAACCAGGGGGAAGGGTGAGGTAACTCATCCAAAAATCCCAAACTGCCTAGTAGAAAAGCTATTGCAGTCAGTTACAGCAGTGATGACTTCAGCCACTGGGTCTATACCTACATTACTCATCTCAGTTTGAGAATCATTCTCACTGCATTACTGACTGGAAGAATCAAGGACTTGTCTTTCCCATTTCCTTCACTCTTGCATTAATCTTAAAAAGCATCAAGCCAGTACTTTTTATGGCATCAGAAGTGGCAGCATTCAACCACTGTGAAGCAATTCTCCCATCTTCTTATAATAAATCAACCAGTCCGATGCACTGTTCTGGAAAAGATGACTTTCCTATTGAGTCATTACCTCACTTTAATAGCTATTGTGCACTTACAAAGAAAARAAATAAGGTCTCCTTGGACTTTTTTCCATCTACACAGACTTGGTTAGCTATTTAACTAAACTTTACCCACACAATGACAAGAAAAATACATAATTATTTTTTTAGAGATTAAAAGGCTTGAACAAACTACAACTTTGTCTTTATTCAGTACCACAGTCTCTACTGGCTGAAAGTCTGAAAGCACATATCAACATTTGAAATTTGAACCCACACAAGTTTCCTCAAGTCCTATTACCAGATACCCAACTGAACAAAGGCAGCTTGAAGCACTGAGAATTAGGGAGCCTCACTGGTTTGTTTAGCTGAGGTTAGAGTAGTGACTCAAATAGTTAGGGTTTCTCAGAGCCCATGTTCAGGGAGAATCTCTCATGCATCAGCCTTCACAGATGAAATGCTTGTCTTGCTCTTTGCAAAATTTGGATGGTGGGAACAGAGCAGGGAGTAACTCCCATTAGTTATTCATAAGATCAGAAGCTTCTCTAAGTTTCATTTCCACACGTGTTTCATGTACTACCATCCAGGGTAATATTATTGGAGAAGAGAACACAAAATAGAAGAAAGGGCACTCATACTGCCTAGTGAAGAACACTAATTGCTCTTCTAGGTGTTCTTCTTGTACTATTACAGAATAAAAGTTGCACTAAAGGAGTAATGTAGCATTTCAGAAATGGAAATGGAATTTTAAAAATCCCGCCTTCATTTTACCAGTTACTACCTCACTTTTCACACCAAACCTCAGACCAAACTTCAAGTTTTTGGTTCCACTTTTTGAAGAAATTTATCTGAGAAACCATCCTTTATTCCCATGTCCCAGAAAGTGAAGAGTATTCACTTATATCATAGATATGGAGAGGGAAGGGGAAATCAGACAGCAAGGGTAAAAAAGTAGACTTTCATGCCCTTTTGGTTGTTAATTTTTTTTTTAGAAAGGGTTTTAGTTTGTGGCTCAAAATTCTTCTATCCATGCTAGAGAAACTTCGATAGTTAGCTATTCTCACTTAGCTGGACTATATTAGCCATTACTTAGTCAAACTAAGCTGCAATTTCCATACTATCCACAAAGAATACTAATATAGCTTTGAAGTGGCTCAGCTGAAACAAAAATTTTAAATAAATACAAATTAATTAAATTACCTTGCAAATGAAATGTAGCACTGATTTCAATTTCACCTTTCAGAATACAAATATAACTTCCCAGCTGACTCCTATCCGAGACTGTAACTCTTAAAAAAAAAAGCAAACAAAAAAAAATCACCAATTTGCTCTTTTATGCATACTTTCGTCTTGTACTGCTACAAGTGACTGCTAATTAGCATTCTAAAGAAAACAGTAAGGATTAGTAACAGTGCAGTGAACATACCATCACTGAAACTAGGATTCAGGTTTAGTGCAATGCAGAAGTGGCGTAACATTTTTAAGAAAACGAAGACCAGAAGCTCATCTTGGAACATAAATTACCATTTTCACCCTTCATGCTAACAGAAAATCACCTTTAAGCAGCACTATCTACAGCTTACTAAATTAGATACAGGTTCTCCATGAGAACTATGAAGCATATSCTTTGTAGGGCTTTACTTAAATAGTTTGTTCTTGCTAATCTCAACATAAAATAAAGAGTTTTAAAGAGCTTCCATCTAATGAAGTCCACCATCTTCTCCACTGGCAATCTATACATTTTACTGGCAGTTGGAAAAAGATTTACATGGCTGCATATATGGAATATCAGAAAAGTGACAGTTATATTTTCAACGCATTTTCTATAACAGAAATTTTATCCAAGTATTACTGCTCTTAAAGCTATACAGAAATCAAATGGAGACCAACCAGCTGAGATGTGTGAACAGCCTAATTCTAAAGAACAATAATCAATTGTAGAAAGGCTACTAAAACATTTTTTTTGCGTTTCTGTAGAGGTTTGACAGACTTAAGAATAKCTTCAAAATATCTTTATTGAAAATCTTAATTCTATGTTTTGTTAATTATGAAGGAAAGAAAATGGCCATTGATGCCTTCCAGACTTCTGCTAAGCAATGAGATGGAAAAGAGCATGTGGGAAATTAGGGAGTGGAAAGAGAAATTGCTACAATATTTTAATCTCAGACTGATTATTACATCGCTTACTGAACAAAATTACTGGATTTCAAGGAACTGTTTCCTTATTCTATGTTCTTTAAAAAAAAAAAAAGAAACAAAAACATTTTTTCAAGCACTAGTGAACAGGAGTTCTGCTCCTCCTCTAGGCTTGAGGTACCTGCAACCTTTCTCCCTTCCTGCAGCTTCAGTATGTTGATTTAAAAAGTTTTGCATTTGGCCCTTTTCCAATACATATATTATTAGCATTGGGCAGTGTATATAACATGGTAACTCACTAGAATCTGCAAATCACAGTGTAAAGAATGCTACTTACTGGATGCTCCAGCTGTTCCAAGTTTTAGTGGTGTGACTGATTGTTTCACTTCCCTTTTTCCAAGTCACTTGAGGATTTTTCAAAGGAGCATGCTCATCTAATTTGCAGATCAGTCCAACTTTAGTTGGACTGCCCACAGGGACGTGTTTTTCCAATGAAGTGCCTATCAGAAATTTAAAAACATTTAATAAAAATTAAAATTTACCCATTCTGGGAAAAAAAAATCCAAGATTGTGTTTACATATACAGGATTCCAGGTGAATACATGTGCTCTTTATGCTCTCCATGGCAAAAAACCAAAACAATAAAATGAGTTTCACAGTAATTTTCTTAAGAMTATTTAACTCATAGTTGAGTTAAAAAACGCCTTTACAAAAGTAACATACTCCATTTTGCATATAAACTTCATAGAGGGCTCTAATATAGAAGCATATATACTCATTACACTGAAAGCAATGCAGACTTAMGCTTTTACATAATTTAGTCCAAGCAAAAAATATTAAGTATTTTTTATCTATATTGACATTATTAACGATATTATTGACATTATATTATTAAGAAGAGTTAAGACATAAATATCTATAGCCAGTTGTAGATTTTTATGATACTGCAAGATCACAGGTATATCCTATGGCTAGGGAAGCTGTTGGTAAAATCCACAACCTTAACATTACTGGATCTGGCCTTTCATGCTAACGTTACTCAAGTTAACATCAAATCACCTTCAAACCCATTTAGGGTTGCCTTAACCTTCYTGTCAAGTCAGTAGAATTACAATAAGAAAATATTTGAATACAGTAGAAAAAACCTGTTTTCTGCTTTTCACGAGCATAGGCTCATGAGCACAAAATAAGCATATCCAAAAAGTAGGTATCAACAGAAAATATCTTTGCTGACCCAAAGAAACACCTTTTTATAAGAAAATACTTCCAATGCTTTACCTATTTTTATTTCATAACTGGCCGGTCATCCCTTCTAGCCTTCTAGACAGAAGTGTGCTAAGTCATCTAATACATCTAAATAAGAAAATTTATCCATGTCTCACCTCAATCCTAGACGTACCCTGTAGTACTTGGTTGTCAAAAACATGTAGCTGTATTACACAACTCACATGCTTTCCAAGAGAAGATGAAGTTTTAAGATACAGCTCACTGACCTATTGATGCAAGTCATAGCTAAGCAGCAGCAAAGTCTCGCTGAAGTGAAAGCATCAGATAGAGAGTAAGTGAATTTTACTGGGTCTGGCAGGGACATTTACAACCTCAAGAATGGCATGTCCAGAACTGCAAGTCCTGGCCAAAATACTTCAGATCTGTYGAACTGGAAATAAACCTAGAACTGCAACACCTCAATATTCCATTGCAGAGCAGTCAGTTATTGAAACTCGTTTATCAGAGCAATTAGGCTCAACATATGAGCTACGCATCACTCAGCTTATTGAGGTTGTTTATGATCAAAGTGATTTTACAAATGCAATTGGTTTCACAATAGCGCAAGTTTTATCAGATGAAAATAGTATCTGTCCCTTTTGCAATTATTTTAAAACTAAATCCATCCTTTAAATGAATGGAACATAAAACTTGATGATGCTGAAGATTAACCAATAGCAAGACTGACCTCTGGAGCATCCCTGTACCAAGACTGCATGTACCAGAACAGGAAACAGACAGTACCTTAAGTTTCCTGTAAGAAGAAAATACAGCATAAATGCTGCAAAATTACATCCTTAAAGTATCATGCCAGTACCTTGCAAATCTTCTAGAGGTACTCCAGTTAGATCAGTTTTTCCAGCTATCCCAGAAATTAATTCTAGAGTATTATTTCACAACTAGGAGCTTCACATGTACATTAGGCACAGATTTATTTTTCCTGTTCTCCATGCTTAAGTTGCTAAGTTAACACCTGCTGTTCAGCAAGTACCCTAGCTTACGTGGTCTCTCCAAATGGATTCACTAGTGCAAAAAAACCTAAAATTTCAATTGATTTGAAGGAAGAGAGAGTTATTAAATCATTTTACTTGTGGTTTAAAAAAAAGTAGGAACCTGACTCTCCACTGCAAGAAGTTATTATTAGAACACAATGGTTAATAAAAGCATAAATGCACTTCTATTTTACTGAGCTCATGAGTGTGCTCACTGCTAACATGTTCACTTTACCAAGAACTTGCCATAGTAGATGCTTCTAGAATTCATAAAAAAGACTGTGTGCACTCATATTCAATATAAAATAACTGGAAGACAAAAAAATAACATACTCACCAGACAGGACTATCTCATACTCTGAGACATTATATTTGTCTTGCTTGCTTGCTGGCTTGAGCTCTTCTGTGACAAGATCAGGACCTAACAGGGGGGAAACAGAGTTATGTCATCCTATACAAGTAATCAACATGACAGTATCAATATGGTACYGCAGCTATTAATCATAAACAACCTAGTGGGAGAAAATGGACCTCGCCAAATGCTGACTTGTGTGGAGATCCTTTTATAGACCTGGGTTAGCAGCCACAGTCTTAAGGCAGCAATGTTGTGGGGTTGCTGTTACAGCAATTATGCTGTGTTAGGTAGTGGTTTCTCCCTTTATTGTAATGCTGCAATTGTGAATGTCACTAGTCTAAAAATGTAAGCTATTTCACAGCCTGATTCAAAAAGTCACATACAGCTTACCTATAGAACTACAACAACGTTTAAATAGTTAATGAAAAATAAACTTCAGAAAAATCTTTTAGAAAACAAAAAACAAAAAAACCTAACCTCCCCCAAAAAACCCAAAAAAACCAAAAAAATAAAAAAAAAAACCCCAAAAAAACAACCAAAAAAAAAAAAAACAACAAAAAGGAAAACAACCAAAAACACAAAAAAAAACAAAAAAGAAACCACACAAAAAAAAATCACCAGAAAACCCAACAAAACCCCTCAGAACTACAGAATGCTGCCATTCCCAAAGTCACTGCAATCTAACAACACAGCCAGGAAGCCTAAGGTAGCCTATCTAATCTAGGTGCTGCTGCTTTAATGAATGCAGAGGCAAGAACACCTTGTGATCCACTACATATTCGTTGGAGACCCTCACTGCTACTCAAAACTGAAATACAGCAGGCGATGTCCTTCCCCAAAGAAAGGGTATCAATATTAACCATCATATGCCTGACCAAAAATTTTTTTTTTCCTTTTGTGAGGAAATCCTACATTTACAAGGTGTTATATGGTCACCAGAATTCCTATTTGGCAGGGCTGTGGATTACATATTCTTCAGAGATAATGAAATCTTTTATAAAGCTCTACAAAGCTTGAGAGAGCAACTCTAAGCACAGCCTGTTCCCATCACTTGTTCTCATGCATCTCAAGAGCAGAGAAAGAAAGCAAATTAATAAGCTACAGCTCTAACAGATGTAGCCTGGCTACAATAATCTTCCTTTAATTAAGTGATGAATGAAATAGATTTCACCACCAGCACCCTGATAGACACACTTAATGTTTAAAGCCACAAGTGCTTTTACATGCTTGGAAAGTAATTTTATTGTCAGATATTTCATAATGCATTGCAGAAATATATGAACAGTAATTAGAGACTGATTCTGCCTAGTTGGACAGCATTATAAAAGAAAATTATTCTCATTTTAGTAGAAGGAAAAGGGCTTGATTATCTCTCATGTTCATGGACTGTAAAGATCCCCAATCACAACTGAGAAGATAGAGGAACTGGGCTACATCTTTAGTCTTCTCACTGAGAGATGCACTGGGTGGCCAAATTGATCACTGAAGAAAGAGAACCTCTGAAAGCCTAGATCTCATCAGAACAATTCCTTYTCTTCCTTTGCATAAAATACTGAAAGGTATTTCACCTCAGGTAAAGCTCTTAAACACGTCTCTGAACTACAGCTGAGAGGATCTGGTTCTGATGGAGGAGGCCTCTCCTAGGGTTTGCATCTAAAGGCATAAGAACAGATACTACATGCATTTTCAAATTATTGGCAAACATCCTGTCAGGCTCAGAGCACAAGGATTCTGTGCCATAGGCAATCAACCTTCTGCATGGCTCCATCTGCATTTTCATGCTTTCYCTCAAGCTTCAGTTTAAGTAAAAATAAACCTACATAAAGTAAAAACGTGGTGGGCGATGCCTTAGGATTTTAGTTTCTATGTTTTCATGCATCTGTATTCTTGTACTCCTCTAGTACAGTGCTAAGCTCCTGCTCTCACATCTCTAGACAAAACARYTCCTTTCCGAGCCTGAATCCAAGGACACCTCACTGCCTCAGAGCCTCAAAATATGTAAACAACAGCGAATTGGTGGAGGAGCAAGTTTGGGGTGGTTGACATCATGACCTGAAGATATCATTGGAGAATTGAGGCCTAATATATTAATAAGACAGAACTTACAAAAGGTGAGGATCTCGTGACYCWGTRTCCATTTTGGGCGTAGCCTCAGGATCAGGAGGCTTTTGTCTGCCCTAATGTACCAATAGGCCTGTTAGGCCTGTATTAAAGTTGTCTATTCTCATTCTCTTAAGTTTGTCCGGCCTCTGTTTCAGGTGAGCCTGATTTTAGGCAACACGGGTATGGAAGAACAGAGCTTCAGGCTATTCCATTTGGTGGTGTTAACAGGAGACTGTTGTCAGTCTCAACTGGTGGTACAAAATGCTTTGTAAGCAGAGAAATCAAAGCTGTCTCTTAGCCGTAGACATTAAGTCCTATTGCTCTAGACAAGAACACAACAAGCTTTGATCTCCACCCCATGGAGAAGTAAACTAGCCCTAGTATTTATCCAGGAAATAATATGTCAAGGCTGAAAAGTTCTAGCAGATTTTAGCCTGCCTGTGTGCACCCAACACTCAGACAGCATGTTAGCATTGTCACGGATCACCTGAGTTTATGTCAGCCAGGTACATGCATCACCTGCTTYTTCACTGAAACCCACCACAATGATATATTCAGAAGGCACCAGTGCTAGTTCATATGGTAGATCCAGCTACCAAAAACCTAGACAGCCTTTAAAAGTGTATTGAACACAAACAGAAKTTTAATATTAACCTTCTTCCTCAATTCACATATAAAGTGAAAATAAAYATTCAGATGAGGTCATATGACATAAAACACTTTCTATCCTTCATCTATRTCTGTGTATGTTTATGTATGGAGAAAGTTACTGAATCTATTACCTATTGCACTCCTAGTTCTCATATTGTGTTTGAAAGCTCTGAAGACAAAGAGCAGATAAATACCATTATCTTAAAAAAAMCCCAACTTGTAGATGAAATAACTTGTCAGAACTTGAGTTCACATACAAATGTAACTTGGCTCATTTTTGACTTGCATTAATAAACATGAGCTTTGGGACAGTGCTAAAATTCTGATTCTCTGATCTTTATACAGAAAAGCCTGTAACTTATTCTGTGCTCCTTGTCAAAACTACAATTCAGGTATAAAGGACAGCAAACAGTTTTGATACAGCCATAATTAAGAAGACAGTTGAAGCTAGCAGGCACAGTGATGCTAACACATAGGTGTAAGAAGCTCCCATATTAAAAATTATCAAATCTAAAGGCTAAAACACAACGCCCCTACAATGGTTGCTAGTTCAGGCACTGCCCAGCCTCCCAGGGTCATTGACTGCTTTTACTGCAGGTCACACAACTGGCAGCTGCATAGCTTTTCCCAGTCCTGGTGATTATTTCTGACACTCAAGCTTGCAGTGGCTTTAAAAGACCTAGATGGTATATCTACTTCTGTTTCTTCAAAGAAGTCACAAGCTCATTTCAAGAGACTTAAGTGTGAAAAGGAAGAAGTACTACAGTTTTAAGTGTACTGAAATAAAACAATTACCAGATGATACATTAAGTCCAGCTTGCATTTTAGTCACATTAAGTCCAGCCTGCATCTTAGTCAYGGAGTTCACCTGAGTCTGACTGGAATCTTGTGTTGTCATAGCTGGATCTGAAAAAAAAGTTTAAAGAAAATTTGGGTTAGTAAAAGYTAATTCATGAAAATAATTCCAGCTGAATGTCCTCACTTCAGTTTTTCKCCTCCATTTTTTCCAGTTCTGAGCATACACATTAAAAATGCGCAAGAACCATTTTTCATTAGTTCTTCAGTTCACTTGAGGCAAGAAAAGATTGAAGAACAGAGGCAGTATTTATTTGATGTCCAATTTTTGTATAGAGTTTTTATTATAGTTAGCACATAATCAGGCAAAACCATTCTTCAGAATGTTCCAGCAACTTTATAAATGGTATTTAAATCCGGTCTTGTTCATGGGCTTAAAAAACCATTTATGCCACTCACAGTAATCAATTATTTTTAACACAGATAAGCAGATTTTCCAATAGAATAAGGACTTCATTATAACCTTACAAATCTAGTGTGATGCAATGAACAAACCTTTCCCTCCATTTATACCTAGGCAAGCAACACAAGAAGACACCTCTATCAAATAACACAAACATCTAATACTTACAATTATTTCCATTTTCCTTAATATCACTGCAAATCTGATCCTCCTCCTGTTATACAGCTTTTATAAAAGTTAAGACTCTAGTGGTTTGCTTTATGTTCTTTACTGGAAAAGAACAGCAAAGAAGAGGCAGAGGACTTGCTTAGTTATGTCACTCTTCTGTTAAGAATTCAAGATATCTAGCTGATTTACAAGAATGGCAATGTTTCCTCCTTCCTTTCTATTTCCACATTTGGGTCACAGAACTAGTGTTAATTTTGTACTATCTTCACTGACAGAAGTATTCCAGGCCATATTCTACTGCTATAGTACTCAAAGGATTCAGCTGTTAGTCACACAGGGAAAAAAAGGACACGTATTTTGCATTTGCAATTAAAATCTTGGGGGGGATTGGGATAATGAACTCTTCTGGACATCCAAGACAGGAAAAATGCACAGATGACAGAATACTTCAAACTGGAAGAGACCCACAAAGATCCAGTCCAACTCTTACATCAATAGCAAAAACCTACATCATGCTGYAAGTGCATTCAAACTTGAGAACACCTTCTGCTGAAGGCATGCAGAAGTCAGCACTCTGCCATTTCCTACAAATTAATACTACTAACACTCCTATCCCATTTCAGCRCCTATAGGCATAGATAACTCATAAATTCTCCCACTGGCACTTCCTGCACACAGTTCATCACACTAATGCCAGGTTGGCGCCATCTGCTGTCTCAGTCTGCCCATCATACTTCAACCACTTCGGATGAAGAATAAAACAAGGTAGTCAAAAGATACGACTTAAAAAATTGAGCATTAATGGTTCTTAACAACAGCCCTTTTATTTTTCCATATATCTTCGTATCAGTCCACTGGTCCCATGGCCAGCTATTTCCTCCCAGGCACACACCCCCCCCCCCCAGACAAGAAACTTCAGAAATCTGCTCTGAAGATGTGCTTATGACCCAGACAATCATAAGCCTTAATTCTTTGCTTGATATAGGTACTGAGCAGGGAGAACTACTATTTTTCTGACATTCATAGTACAGCTGAAGAAAGGTCCATGAATTTTTGTATCTGCAGCATCTTGAGGCATTCTAAGTATGTCATGGATCACCTGCATAATAATTAAAATCCCCAAAGATGACAAATTTAGAAGGTGGCACTGCCAGAGCTGTACAGCAGCTCTGTTATCTCTCCGCAATGAAGGCAGATAACCTGCAGCGTGCTTTGCATACTAACAGGGTTCTCATCTTGGCTTTCTTCCTTGATTCATATATCAAGTGAAGACAGTCAAGTAGTGTTATTTTTTGTCACCACTGCTTCCAGATCTTTCATTGTACCTGTCCACATGTGAAACTACATAGAACACAGATAGCATTGCACCACTCTTTTCCTCTCATATATACTTGCTGAATAGCACTGGAGATCAAGATGAGACAGCACTGCATGAGCAGCATCATCCAGGCCAGGCAATGATGTAAGCAGCCACTTCTCGAACTATTGAGTCATGGCTGCTTGCCTTAGCCTATAATTGTTTTGCATTAGATTTAATCAATAGTGTGGTAGCTTGTAGAGCTCTCATTTCCTTGATTTCCAGGCAGAAAGGAACAGACAATAGTATGATGTCATTAATTTAGTTTTGTACCTTATCATCTCTGCTTCATATGGCAGCCAAAATTTTCAGGGTAAAAAAGTATGGATGTACCATGCTTGCTATCACCAGGGCAGTTTCAGGCTTAAAAATCTATTTACTCTCTTTCAGCTAGAAAAGCAGTTGAGTAAAAAAAAGGCTGAAATACATTTTGGTTTAACATCTTTATTTTACTGTATAATTTAGTATCAATCACACTCCTTTTAAGCTTAAAAGCATTCAGTAGCATCCAAAACCAAAACCACCAGACCCCCTAATGCCCCAGAGGCACCAGAGGACCAAGGCCTCTAAGGCCTTCAAAACACCCTGATAAAAGTCCTTCCCTCAGGTCAGACCAGAAAAAATGCAACCTGAAAGCAAAGTATCTAAGGAATGAGATGTGCTCTACACTTAAGAGCTCCTTGACTGCTTCAGGACCAGAAGCTGAGAGATGAGATATGGTAGGATTGTTTTTCCTAATTCAATCTGGCAATGCTTGCTGCAAACTAAATTAGACAAATGTAATCAAACAAAGCAGGAAGCGCTGAACAATGTTGTGACACACTCTTAGAAACTACCCTTAACTCAATGTAAAATAACAGCAATAGTTCACATTTTTGCAGAACTATTAACTAGTTACATGACTAAGATAACAAAACAAATGTATTCAAGATATTATCTCAAAATAAAAATCTAATAGGAATTTTGGAGCATCTGCCTGACCAGCTGCAGACTATATAACCCACTCCCTCTGCTTACTTTTACTGCAAACATTTTTAAGAACCCTCACATCTCCAAAACACACAGCTTCTGGACTTTCATGGAGAACAGTTTAACTCTTCTCATTCCAGGTGACAAGAACTCCCCTTGCTGCAACTGTGTAGATAGTCCCTGTGCTAGACTAGCTTTATACACGTTCACTTAATAACAAATGGAAGAGTAGACCATTTTTTTTTCCATTTAAATCATCATGGGAATCACAGTACGATGCCTCCCTATCTAGTTCGTACAGCTATAAAACATTTAATAGAAGTCTGGAAAGACTGGAACTCCATACAGATGAAAAGTACCAAAACTAGTGGCTTATTTCTGGKATCTGCTCAAAACCATGCATGATATCTATCACTTCAGGAAGATGGTAGATTTGTGGAACCTCTGGAACCACAAATAAGGTTTTGCTGTTTGATTAATTTGTCTTTTTTCTTTTCATGAGAGGCTTTCATCTCACCAATGTCTTTTTTTGGCAGTAACAGCCATCAAAAATAAATACCTTATGGCAATTAACCACACACGGACTCACACATTCCTACAAATATCAGGCCATTTAAACTCAAAAAATTTCTCAATGAAGTAAACTGGTAGAAGAGAGATTTGTCTGTGTACATAAATACATACGTATTTTAAAGAAGATTTAAGATCTACAAAGTAGCTTTTTCTCTGACTGCATATATAAATACACTTTTTAGCAAGACTTGAGAAGTGCAAAGTATATTTCCTTTCACATTATGTGAAACTACTAGAAATTCTACCCAAGTTACCACCACCCAGCAAGCAGTGCTGCTCCTCTTGGTACTAGGAAGTGCAACAGAAGCAGAAGAAAACTGCTTGTATTTCACATAGTGAAAATGCACTGAAACCACAGTGAATTCAAGTCAGAGCACCGATGTTCACACAGGAGTATATCTATGAACACGAATATAGGACAGAACTATCAGCCTCGGCAAGACAAACTAAAAATCTCGCCCGGCACAGCAAGCGTCAGCAATCTGTTAATTCCTTCTATCGCCATTCTCTACTACCCCTAAACGCCTCAAAACGAAAGAGAGGATTAACAGAAATCTACTAGTTTTAGAAATAAGATCGTACTTCCTGAGAAGCAGCTGGCATATTCCTGAACTGCTAAAAGCCACTAGAGGAGAAACGAGGCCCAGAAGGCTCAAATCTTTTTTCATGGATTTTAAATGCTACGTTTAAAAACGCAACCCACTAGGCACAGTGAGGTATTAATAATGTAATCTATCAATCTGTGAGTGCCCCCCCAAATTAAACGCTTTATTCGGTAAGCGCRGGATAGCAATACGACGCAGCACCTCATCTTCCCAGCAGTGCACCTGTGAGCTAACAAATCCCACCTGTGAGCTAACAAACCCACCCGTGTGTGAGTGAGAGGGTGCAGAGGCTACGGGACGGTCCATGGCCGATGTGGCTCAGCCCATCTGCAGCCGCCCACCACCCCGGTGCCGGGGGACAGCGAGTGCGGGTCCCCGCTGCCCCACGAGAACGCCGGGGAAGGTCGGGACCGCTGAGAAAGATAAACACCTCATCCGCTCCCAGGCAGGGCCGAAATGCGGCCGCCGTGCCGGGGCAGCGCTACGTCCCCGCGAGAGCCGGGGGGATGCTGCGGACCAGGGAGGACCTTTGCTCCCAGGCGGTGCTCCGGTCCACCTCGCTCCGGCCCGCCCGGCACAGAGGGAGCCCGGCCCAGAGAGAGCTCACATTTACCTGCAGGGCTCCCGCCCGAGAGGCTGGTGCAGAGCAGCAGTAACAGCAGCCGCCCCAGGCGCCGCCCGGAGAAGGCGGCAGGCATGGTGCCCCCGCCGCGCTCACTCCCGCCGCGCTGCCCTGGCTCGGCCCGGCTCCGCGCCCCGCGGGCTGCACCGCCTCAGGAAGCCTCAAGCGGGCCGGAGAGGCTGCGGGAGAGCCGGCTCCTCCAGCAACGACAGGAGCCAAAAGCAAAGCAAAGCTGTCCCAAATTTACTCGCAGGAAAAAAATTAGGAGGCAAAAAAGAAAGGGAAAAAAAAAAAGCCCGAGAAGGCACTGATGGCACCACCGCTCCCCGCTGCGGGACGATGTACCCAGCGGCGGCCCGCCGCGCTTTATGTGGAGGAGGAAGGGCGGGGGCGCAGCGGTGGCTAATTGGACCGAGGCCCTGGCGCTGGAGCTGCCTGGGAGACCCTCCAGGCCGCGGTAGGGACACTGGGTCRGGATTTATTTTTGGCCCAAAGGGGCAGTGGCTGCAGGACCACCTGGGCTGGGCAACCGTCGGCGAACAACGGCTCTGGCAGGGCTTGCTCGGAGCAGATTGCCCGGGGCAGAGCCAGACTGTCCCTGCCCTTTGCCTAGTGATCTGGAGAGCCCAGCTTTGAGGGTCACTGGCTCCAGAGCAGCTGGGTTATATTGTATGGGAGCTGCGGCTCCTTTGCATCCCTTTTTCTAAATCTCCTAGCTTGTACAGGAGTCCCCAGGGAGAACCATTTCAAGTAAAAGCTTCTCAGGTTTTGATTATGGCTGAGTGAAATTATTCACTCTTTTTTTTCTGTAGTCGTGTGTACTCACCTAGTAGACCCAGTCACATGCATTATATGCATTTCTGTTTGTTACTTGGTAAATAACTGAATTCTAAAAGTGCAAAATGGAATCTGGCAAGGTGGTATTCAATGAAAGAATTACTTTGAGATGGGGCACTGACTGCTTCTTCCTTGTTGTCAACTTCAGGTAATGCAAAGTTGAGTAGTGTAAAAAGTTTGTATTAATTATGCAAAAGGGTCACTACAAATAAGCCTTTACATCATAGGTGTCCATGCTGGCAGAGCTGGATAGTTTATGCAGAGTAAATGCCCTGTGCGTAGATTTTCCAGCACTGCTCRTGCTTCTATCCATATTTTCCAATACGAGTACAGCATCCTTCAGAAAACAATTTTCTTTCATAGAAAGTCCCAGTAAATACACGTAATGACAAAAGAATGGGAACAGGACTGTTTCCTTAGGCCTTTCCCTGTGTGTYCAGTAGTACTCAGGATACAATGTGCTATAAGGGGAGATGGAACCCCCATACTTGTTAATCTGCCAGCCTGCTAAAACTGCATAGCACGATGGGATTCAGAGAGACAATCCAATTCAGATAAAGCTGTTTAGGAATGGTAGATGATCTTCAGCTTTTAATAGGAAAAAAACTGGCTAGCACTTGAAAGCTGTTTTATCTGAACCAGTTAGGCTTGAAGAGACTTATCTCTTGGCGTGGGGGAGGTTGAGGGAAAGGAGAGAGAAAAGAAGGGGGGGAGAGGAGGGAGGAGTGCCAGCTGCCGAAAGATATGAAGGAATTAGTTTATAGTTACAGTTGGCTCTTCCTGGAATGGGAGAAAACTTTRCCTTGTTTTCAGGGCTGGGTGAGACAGCTCTCTTTTTGTGAGACAGCTTTTATCAACCTGGAATACGTGTGTATTGCTTAGTGTGGCTAGTCTGTATAGAAATCTACGGCTAGACAGTAGCTGTCACAAATGGATCTGCTAGAGCAGTTCCATCTAGGGCCTAGCTGTAGCTTTGTCAGTTCTTGCTCAGTGGAAACTGTTGAGGTTCTGATGGAGACAATTTGTTTTGAGTGACTTGGCATTTGGTGCTTCTGTCTTTTCCACCAAGTCAACTTCACTGAGCAGTWAGACATGATGAATACTTTTGCAGGATTCTCTCTCAGCTCGTGTTCAGGCCTTATCATCTGCTAATAGTACATCCTACACTTAATTCTGAATTGGAATAAAACAATTATTAGATTACTGACAGAGCTGTTTTTGTCCTATACTCATGGTATGAGATAGAGAAGACAGAATGCAATGGAACAGCAAAGAGAATGGCAAAGGCAGGAAGAAGATGGCAGAAGGAAGGCAAAGAGGAAKCAGAATTTAGAGGAAGTTTTCAAGCAAACAAAAAAGCCCTTTAAGGATTTCCATGCTTCAGAATTTGTCTTAGCATAATAATATTCTTGTATTAATTACTCCCTAAGAACTGCAGCTGGATTTGGTAGATCATTGAAAGGGTAAGACGTTTCAGATATTATRAAGTTAGTGGTGACAATGATGAAGTAGAATATTCTGGATATTAAAAAAAAAACAAACTAGTGTATTAGCTTGCATTTGGAAACGTTGTCTGGCGAGTAGTTAGAAATTTCAATAGAAGTTTATTTAAATTTTACATACCAAGTCTATTGTACTTCACTTATTAACATCCACCATATTTTCCTCTTCTCCCGGCTAATATTTTTCTTGCCCTTTCATAGAGAAACTTTGACTTGCTCTCACATGGTAATTACTTGGAAAATGAGACAATTGTTTTGGAACAAGAATGCATATATTGAACCATACTCTGATTTATAAAAACCCCTTATTTTTAATAAAACCTCTGAAAACAGGGAAATTGATGGTTTATTCAGCTGGAAGGTCTTTGCTGAAATTTTTCATGGCAAAAGGAAAGTAAATGAAACTCTGAAAATTGGTATGATATGTTGATTATTGTCTGAATAAAAATGTAGATAGTAATTTGTGCTTTTACAGCTCCTTTTCATGAACAACCAAATTCTGTGTTCTCAAAGCACAGTCTTTGGCATTCATTTATTTCTATGAATAACTAAAACAGTAAAATAACCTAAGAACATATGTGATCCAGCACTTTTCTTGGCTGGATGTTTTCTTTTTATAAAATCCACTGAGACTGTGAAAAGGTAACTGTCATATATGTGAGAAGAACTGTGAGAAAGAAGGAAACAGTCAAAATGGACTGAAAACAACTTGAGGTGAAAGTTTATTTCAGGGTGCTTAGCAGTTTTCAATGTCTGAAGCTGAATCATCAAGACCTTATTAGACTCTAGCTAGATTTGATTTCTTTTTATGGGTATGAAATTYTTAATTACAAAAGCCTGAAAGTAAACAGTGGTAAATAGGAGACACAATTTAGAATTACTTATTTCAAGTCTTGCAAGCTGTCCAGGAAATCATTTTGCAAGGCCAGGAGATAATGTGTTACTAATCTGTGGACCGCTATCAAAAGGAGGTACTGAAAAAGATGTTATGAAACACCTGCATTGGGTAATGAGTTCCCTGTTCTGTGATAACAGTCAGGTTATCATAAAACTTTAAAAAACAATGCAAAATATCCATGCTTCTGAGAGCCAAAGTAATATACTGAGTGCTGGAACAAGACTGCAGACCAGAATTTTATTGTCTCCTACAAACATTTATTTTTTGCTTGCTGTCTTTTAAGGATTTAACTAAACTGAGATTTTGTCCAGATTTAAAATGACAGACCAGATTATGCAATCTGCATATCCTGCGATTGCCTTCTCTGTGCTGTTGCATCCTGCAGAGTGGCTAGAAATCCAAATATCTCCTGCTATCTCCTGGAAGGCAATTTACAAGATTAAGTATATAGTTTCTATTGATAATTCTGCCATTTATCAAATGTATAATGTTGTGTTCTAAGATAAGAGCTTTATATGAAACAAAAATGGGGGCTATAGTGCTTTAGCAACATTTTTTTTCTAAATCCTATGTTTCTGCCAGTACCAATTATTGTGATTGTCGATACTCATCATGTAAGATTGTCAATTGTTACTGTGCACCGTTGCAGATTATGCAGTAAATGCCTTGTTCATATGACAAGCACACCATCATAAACAATTGGCATCCAAAACTTCTACCAAGCAAGATTTTTGGCAAGCAAATCTATCTGCCCACCAGTCCCCTGCTTTTTGATATCTGAACAAAAGCTACATTTTTAAAATTAAAAATAAAATGAAAAAGACATTATTTTTTTGAAAACAATTTAAATTGCAACCTTATGTATAAACAAGTAAAGAATTATCTACAATCTGTTGGTTTAACATAGAATTAAAGTTCACTACGATACAAATGCATGCTACCTCATCACAGGGTTTGCTTTGCAAGTTGTGCTTCAGAATTTGCACAAGGTATTTTAAATGCCTCCATGAGGACCAGACTTCAAGGGAGCTATTATACTTCATTATAGTAATATACCTGCAAAAAGTGAAGCAGCCTCTGATTTGAATTCAAATGGAGAACAATTACTCTAATTGTTATTATGCTGAAGGCACACAGGTGAGTCTCACCTACTGCTTTAATATCAGCATGAATATAAGTCTTATCACCTTGATAAGTCTTTCTTTTTCATGCATTCACCATTTTCCAACCTTTTAGACTTTGAAGAACAGCCTCTCTTTTGTGGCAACAATAAAAAATSATGAGACGTTTATATATAATACAAACTATAGATGAAGGTATCCTCCATTCTGCTGCAGTACTTGCTCAATTACCACCTCTAAGCAGGAGCACTAAGTTGTCTCAATAACCAGGCCTTACTTATGTAATTGAATTTAAACTGCTTGGGCTCCTGCTCTAGGGTACTCAATGGGTGAATGTTTTCTGTTTCTTGTGAGTATGGAGATAGAAGGTAGACTTTTCTCATCTAGATTACCTGTTTTATGGTCTTCCTGGGCCTGGGGGTTTTGTTGTTTGTTTGGAGGTTTTTTTGGTAGTTGACAGAAACTTGGCTTCTCAAATTTATTTTTTTAATTTTTTTACTTTAATTTTTATTTTTTTTTTAGATTTTGATATAGGTCTGTAATTCTGGAGCTAAAATCTGAAGATAAGGCAGCATAATATAAGTAACAAGTCAAGTGGGCTCAATCTTACTGATTAATATTCCTGGTGGAGGGAAGTTATTCAGGTTAAACACCACTCCATTTATTTATGAGCCAACTTCAGTAAACTTTAGAAACTCTGACAGCATCCTTTTACTTTGAACATTTTTTTCTTTAGTCTTTATGTATTATTTTAGAAAGAGAAAAGAGGGCTTCAGTGAAAAAAAAAATAAAAAGTGGAGAAAGCTATGTAACTAAAAGTGTTATTCGTAATTCCAAAATCCTGAGATTTAAAACAGTTTTTATTAGCCTTTTGCCATT